ATAACGAAAAAAAATAGGTTAAAAACAACAAGTTGTACAGATTTTACAATAAAATTTATTATTTTATTACCAAAATGAATATTTGTTATATTTTCGCTCAAATAATTTTAATACTTCATTCTATTTATTTGTTTTATTATTTATTAAAATAACGAACTTTTGAGCTGAAATATATAAATTAAAGCATTTTTTTATTTCGTTTGCATGTATAATCTATATGACTAAATTTATTATTGTTTACTAGTTTAAGTAAAAAGAAAAGTAACAAGTCAAAATATGCTCAAATGGTTTAAAAATTAAATTTTGGGGTTAATTTTAGTGCGGTTGGCCAGTCTATTGAATATACATAAATGTTGTATTGTAAGTTTTAACCTTACAATGTTGGTAAAGTAATTAAAATAACATTTATTTTTAAACCATTTGAAAAATATGAAAAAAAAACAAAAAAAAACTTACAAATTCAAGTGGGATTCACTGCTAACAAATTCTCGTAAAATGAGACTTTACGATATCAAAAATTGATTTGTATTGTTCTTATATGTAATTCAAATTTGTTTATATTTAAAATGATGCGTCGACATAATTAATTCAATGATACGATTTTTGTTTTTTTTATTTTTTCGAATTTAGGAAATGTAATAAAAATGACAAGGGTGCCATTTTGAGATTTTTTGTATTTAGTTTTAGTTTTGTTATTCATTTTCAATCCTAAGTTTTAAACAAGTTTATTTCAAAATAGTATGTGAAATGACCATTACACAATCGGTATAACTTGAATTAACATTTTATTCTTGAAAAGGTCAATAAAATTTAACTGTAATATTTAAGTGCTAAATGATATTATAGTTTAATTAAAAACATATATTTATTAAATAAATTTTGTGGTTTTTATTATTTGTAATTACTTTTAAACCATTAAAATAAACGATATAGAGTCATATTCAACAACATTATCTGTTTGGAAACGTTATTTGATCAAAATAAAATGGTTGTATTTTTTGTACAAAAAATGGGAATTGGGAAAAAACACACAAAAATATGAAAATAATTGGAACAATGGGATGGGTTTTATAATAATTTCCCGCAATTATCCACTTGGTTTGGTCCTAAAAATACCAGATAATGTTGTTGGACTGACTATGTACAAAGAATAATTTTTTAAATAATTATAAAATTAGTTGAAAAACGTTGTCCTAAGATTTTTGGTCAATAATAATTGGAAAATATAGGAATCATATTCAAAATATAAATATTTTCCCACCCTCACACCGTCTAAATATAGAATTTATTTACTATTTTTAATAATATTTTAATTAAAATTATAGTAAATAGGAAACTGAAAATATTAGGTCTGGTTCCCGAATTCAAAAAATGCCGAAAATTCACCTCGAGTCAGTGGAAACCGAGTGAGACGGAGCATTGAAAAGAAGGCTCTGAAGGCCGCACTCAAACAGTCTGTTTGTGCACCGTTTCAACCACTTTCCAATTCCTCCCTTGGCGCGGATCCCCCTGACCCCCCCCCCCCCCCGCAAGCGTTGGGGAACCACATCCGCGTCCACACAGTACGGACAAGGAAAGTGAGTGACATGGGGACGCACAAACAGTAGCTGAAAAATGGACTTCCTTCAAAAAAAATAACGGCAAATATTTTATTTTGGTAAACAGGGTGAGGGTGGTAAAAAACGGTTTCACGTTGGCGACTTGGACAAAGTTTTACAACAAAGTATATTATTTATTTTAACTTTTAATTTAATGATCTGGGAGTCTTTAAACACTTTGCGATCATAGAAAACATATTGATTTACTCAAAATTGTAGTAATTACCTACCCAATAGGTAATCACTATTGGGTATAGTGTTGCCATTCTTATTTTTTTATTTTTAATAAAAAAGGACACGATAAAATGATGAAAATTCCATTTTTATTCAATTGCATCTCCAAAAACAAAAATAAATGCAAATTTGTTATTTAATTAGCAAATAATGTTATTGCTCTTAAATAACAAATT